CATTCCACCAATCATAATTTTTCATTGTGTTCATTTTTTTGTAATTATAAGAGGTTGATTAATCATTTTTATTGTGTAGGATGTTAATCATGGATGTTATCATCTTCATTATTTTAATTTTAGAGAAATACATGAAACAGTTTCATTAAGTAGTATATGAAACAATTTCATAATCATATATGAAACAACTTCATCAAAAAAATATTATATGAAACAATTTCACAAGATTAAACAATTTCATGAAAAATTTTCATAAGATTACAACGGATGAGAGTAGTTTTTACAAATTGGAGTGGTTTTCATTTGATCGCTCATATATATATATATATATATATATATATATATATATATATATAGGGGCTTAATCAAATGAGACCTGAGTTGTTTGTGATAACTGTGAGATCCAATATAAACCACAAATCAACGGATAAATTATGAAATTAATAATTATGGTAGTTTGAGTTAAAATTATAATTAGATGACATTTTAGACATTTTAAAAAACTCCTCTCTTCTCTCTCATCTCTCATCTCTCATCTTTCCGACCTCCAAGTTCCGGCCTCCGGTGAACAAAAATCCGGCAGGTACCAAGTAATCACAAAGATACACAATGTGATACCCATTGTGATATACAATGGTACTCAAATGGTATCACAGTATATCACAATGGGTATGATATTGTGTATCTTTGTGATTACTTGGTATCTGCCGGATTTTTGTTCACCGAAGGCTGGAGATTGGAGGTCGGAGAGATGAGAGATGAAAGAGAAGAGAAGAGAGGAGGGATGAGTTTTTAAAAAATACCTAAAATGTCCTCTAATTATAATTTTAACTCAAACTACCATAATTATTAATTTCCTAATTTATTCGTTGATTTGTGGTTGAGACTGGATCTCACAGTTACCACAAACTAATCAGTTCTCTCTTGAATGAGCCCATATATATATATATATATATATATATAATTAACCTGGATATCCAACCCGCTATGCGAGTCGATTAATCCCAGGGCGACCACCTGCTTTGCAGATAGCCCGGAGTCACTGCATTTGAACCTCCATAGCTACAAGAGGATTTTATTCCTTCTTGGATGTGAACCTGTGACCTCCTAGTACTTTTGACCTTTGGAGCCAAGCTCAAACCAATCAGACACCAAATGAAATATATTGGATACAATTTATTTGGTTTTATAGATGTTTCTTTGAAAAAAAACCAAACTCATATATTTGAAAACCCCAAAAATATTCCACCAATCTATATTTCTTTCTTTCCCCCAAGAGAAACTATGTCCAAATGTATATATGCTGAGAATCTGTGCAGTAACAAGTTGCCTTAGAGCAATGCTGCATCTGAGGATGCTCCAATTGTAGATTTTCGAATCGAATGACGTGTTTAAGAAACCGTTATCATTCCTTCTCGGCTATAACAACGAAAACATCCTTCACCGACCACCTTCGTTTCTCCAATTTTCCTGGAGGATTGATGATGGCTTTCTGTACATTGCCTATACGGTACCCGATTACTATTTCTCTCCTTTGTCTAGCACGCAACAGTATTTCGTAAAAACTCAGCTCTTCGCCTTCCTTAAGGTATAGATCTGCTTGCCTTATGTGCATCTCGTTCCCCTGGTTCGCAAAAAAGATGGATAACCTTTTAATACGAGCTCAACAAATATATTCGGCCCCATGGAAATGACAAAACTGCAAATTTTGTTTAATTAAAACAAGAATAATACTCCCTCCGTTCCAAAATAAGCGCCCACACTTCAATTTTAGTTTGTTCCAAAGAACTGTCCACTTTCAAAAGTGTCTTGCTTTCCAATTCTACCCTTAATTATGAGATGGAAAAACTCATTATTCCCTCTACTATAAAGGGTAAAATTGCCATTTAATTAAAACTGTGAGTGTTTTCATTGTGGACATTTATTTTGGAACATCGAGTGTTTTCAATAGCATTCAACTCCATGGCCTTGGCTAATGCGGAAATTAATACCAAATTGTCATTCTTGATGAGTTCATACTAGAAATGATGTTATGATGAACTGAGCCCTTTCTTCTGCCAGACAACGTTTAGGAAAGAACTTTTTTGTTTCTCCTTCCCTCAGAAAGTATACTGATTATTCCAACCGAAAAATTATTGTGTTGTTTATATAGCATGGTACGATTGTTCTTTTGGATTCGAAGATTTAGGGTTTGGGATTGGGAATCGGGGCTTCCTTTGCTTTGTTCTATGTGTGTTTGGGCGTCATCTTACATTTTTTGTGTTTTCAAGTGCCTACTCGTTTACTTTTTCTTACTTATTTTTCTCGTTTTATTATTACCATGTGTTAGTTATTGTTCCTTTTACCGGTCTGCTCACACTCTTACATAAGCTCGGGCCTTCACGAATACAACTACTCTACTCTTTGGGGTCGAGGACAGGCCAGAGTACATAATACCCTACTTTCGAGCGGGATTAATTGGGTATGTTTTGTTTGGTTTTAACAAAAATTGGGTATTAGGTGACTGGCATGTTGATTGCATTTTCAAGGTGATAACTACTTTCGATCCAATTGAAATGATATAGCCCACGTACATCTGCACAGAAATATCAACTCATAACTCGACTCGACTCGTCTCAACTCAATAAGGCCTTGGGTTTGCTCCCTAGTGGTCAACAGTTCGAGTCCACTTAGGGCCACTGAAGGTTTGCCTAATTGAGGTGCGCGCAATCTGGCTCCGTGGCTCGAACACTCACGGTTATCCAAAAATACCAAATCACACTCAGAGGTTGAATTTGGGGGTAGAGTCAAGGTCTGCATAGAAATCTAAGATTTAAATTTAGTTGGATTTCGTATTTTGAAGTTGAACATAGATGACCCGATGTCGTAGGTTAAAATCCTACAGAGACTGGGAAGGATGCACCTCTGGTGTACCAGTTATCGTGCCCACTGTATTTCTTTTAACGATGTGGAATGGGTTATGTTATAGTGTTCGAAAGTGCATTGTACTCATTTTAAGAAAACAAAATCGTATATAAAACGATGCAATCTAAAGATCACATACACGAGTTTTTTAAAAGCTAAAAAAAATGTTACCTCTTCAGCAAAAAGCTCCTCTAGGACATCATTTATTTGACGATCCTCTGCAACCATTGCCAACGCCATGCTGACAAGCTCATTTGATAGAACGTAATCGCTAATCCTTGACATAGATAATAGATTTTTGGTCCTTGGGTCAAGAATTTCACTAATTATAACCGACTTATCTGAAGCCTGCTGCATTTCCCCTATCCAAGAACCTTGTGAAAAGCTACCTTTGCGACCTTGAGTAGCCTTGGCTTCTCGGTATGGAAGACGCTTAGCCTGCAAAGCAAACATATTTAAGTACGATTAAGGTCTTATGGCTTGTAACTATAGAAACTATATTTACAACTTTACCCTTCATTATGAGATGGAGAGAGAGAGGGGGGGAGAAGGTTTGCCTCTTATCATTAAGGGTAAAACTGTCATTCAGGTAATTAAAAATTATAATAAATTACAAATTTCTTAAACTGTATTCTTTTTGTTGCGGACATTTATTTTAGGACAGAGGGAGTAATATTTGAAGCCTACTTGAATGGTAAGGTGCAAAAGGATACTAGATACCATAACCTTGTAATAAGTGTATTAAAGTAAGATAAAAACTTGAATGCAAATAGGTCGAACAAATGTTTTCTGCACGCAAATAGCTTTTGTGCACATGGACGATAATACTTGAGGCGTCTACTGGCTGGTATACAGCTCTCAAAAGAAAGCACCAAAGTTTACAATTCAAGATGAAAGGGAAATTATAAACCGGTCCATAATAATGCATCAACACCCAAGTACCTGGATGTCACGTATTAATAGCAGTGTAGCAAGAGATCTTGAATCAGCCTGTATTGCTGAATCTTCTACTGATTCATCAGCCAGAATCAAGATCTGTAAGAACCATTATTAATATCAGGATTTCAAGCTGAGAACATCATAAAAATAAGCACCTTCAGGTAATAGCACGTAAAATCTTGTATAGCTAATAATCTAATAGGTTACCACATGAGGCAATATCAAGAATTAGGTATGCTGCTATGATAAAGCAGAAAAACATGCATCTCTAGCCCACAAATGGCAAACAGTATTCCCAGGCTCAGATTAATCCAAAAAGAATTAACACCCGATTATGGTTTCATCTCTTGGGATGAGCAACTAAGGTTAGACATGGCAATTTTAGGCATATCTGAGGATATGGCCTCAAATAGTTGTTCTTGGAGATGCAAGATTAGAGTAGCAGACTAGGGATGGGAATCTGTAGCTAGCCTAGACGAGAGGAAGGGATCTGAAGAGGTAAGGGTGGGTGTAGGGTTAGTGGGCCGACAGCTAGATCTCCTGAGTCCTAGGTTAGACTAGGGGTGTGTTGGCCTTCCTACCTTGGTTGCTTCTATTTGTATGTTTTGTTAGTTTATTTGTTTATCTATATGTTTCAATGTTGTTGCTTACTTCTAATGCGTTTCAAATTTTAACCATACCCTTCTTATTTTAGAGTTCTTCTAATTTCTATTTCCGCAGTTTTTCTGAGCAAGCTTTATCCTTTCTTTTCGCACACTTTGCAAAGTTGGCTCTTCACGGAAATAGTCAATTAACTCTTTGGGGTAGAGGTTAGGCCTGCATACATCCCTCAAGCCCCACCTCCAGGTGGGACATACTGGGCTGGTTTGGTCTGATTTGGTTTATAAGGATTAAGGCATTACTAAGAATAAGGTCCAGCAGTATGAAAGAGTCATCTATCAAGCTTTGTGTTTCAAATTTCTTACACATCTAGAATCCCATGTTTATCGTAGACATAAAAGGTTATATGATGAACTTTAAATCTACTTCTACTCACTGAATCAAAAGATTCCAATGGAAGGCTTTCCAGGTGACGACGTATTACAGCATTGCCTTCACGATGAACCAATGTTATATTCATCAATCGCTCAATGTCTAAACCACCATCAATGAGCTTATGTTCCCTCACGCCTTCCACAACTTCATTGAACATCCATAACTCTGAACCTGGTGCTAGGAAGGCATCCAGTACCTAATATGGAAAACAGAAAAAGAGTTCAAAGCAAACTTATGCAAACAAAGTTAAATGGAGTACATGAATTATTCTTAAAGATTAAGAAATGCTTAGAAAAAGCATTGCTGAGGGTCAAGGAAATTTCTGACATGTCTACCCCCAAAAAAGTGAATGTTTGGAACACGTCAGATTCCTTGTGCCTTTACCGTGATCATATCTTCAATATCTCTCCGCCAACCACACAGAAGTATCTTTTCCATGGAATTGGGACCAATGAATTCCTTAGGTAGATTTCCTCTCCACACCTGCAGCATTCAGGTGCAGAAAAGAAGAAATTAGGGGCTTTGATTGATAGAACTCACCACAATCATATCATCAATGTCCCGCCTCCATCCACAAAGTAGAATCTTCTGGGGCTTTCTTGCTGGTCGGGAAATGTGTATGAATGGTGCTTCTTTCACCTGATGACCAAATTTATTATAGTTTTATTATGTTATGCCCCACTCGTTGAATTCCATGGTAGCAGTCACCTTAACGTGCATAAAGTAATAGCATTCTTTCAGAAAGTGACAAGTCCAAAGGTGTGGATCTTGTTCGAGTCTTGGTAAGTTGGTCAACTAATATGATGAATAGTAAAAAGAAAGATGATTAAACTGAAGACTGGTGATGCAAACCAAGTCAAAATCATAGAAAGAAGAGAGGTGGGGCAACGCTTTATAAACCTGGGAAACGACTGCTTAGAAGTACTAGACATCTACAAGCCACACATATGACTGAAAATGTTGAACAACTCACTCCTTGTCCCATCACACTACAATTTACTCAAATATGGCAATAGCAGCTATACATGGAGTACAAAACATGCAAATGAAATGTGTTTAAGGTCAGTCTTAACCAAACTGACCCAGTAAATTCCACTCAAAAATAAGGTCTGAGAAGGGTGAGATGTACACAGACCTGACCTCTACCCCAACAGGGTAGAGCATCTGTTTTTGTGAAGACCATAAAGCAGACCATATTGTCTATGTTAATATATGCTAAAAAGGGTCAAGGGCCTATGCCTTTATAAAGTGGGTAACCATATTGTCTTTTTCCTTTTTACCTTTTCATCGGGGAGAGGGCATTGAAACACATAATTTTCACATTAGATAAAAGAAAATTTCATCTGTCTAAGCAAAGAGCATAGGTCAACCTTCTATCTTTGCCAAGGAACCTACACCAATCACCCTCATTTATGTGCACAGAATATTAGACACAAAGATATCTTCATAAAACCATTTTGGGTGAGGATTCACTGAGTGTTGATTTACTGTACACTCTTGGAATAGCTCAAATGTAAGAGATTAGTTGGCAGCATGGAAAAATTTAAGCATTTGATCTGATGATGTTTAACTTTTTGAATGCTGATTCCAGGAGGTCTTGATGATTGTGCATTTTGTGCATATTTAGAGACGGTTTACATCTATAGAAAATCATGGAATTACAGAAGTGACTGCAATCCTTGTGGAAACCACAATGGAAAACAGGTGAACCATTCAAGACTGAAAATTGGTCCAAGTTGAACTCTTCCTCACAGAAACTGTCAAAAGCTGAGTTATTTTACAACAAAGAAGTATCAAATCATCTTGTTCTGAAGGAAAGAAAATCACCGTTGGTAATGCTACTGGAGCATATGTATCATCATCCTCCGCTATAACAAGCACTTCGTCCCCTTCTTGTAGAACATAGGAGTCATCAGGATTAAGGATAATTTTCCCCCCACAGGAGACCGACTTTACTCCACAAGGGATAGCATCCGGAAAGCTAATCAAGACATCCTCAAAATGCATACCATCCAACTGTGGCCATCTTTTAATGTAGAACTCACAATTTTCAAACCCAAGAATATCTTCCCACACCTGCATGACGGTCATAGGGTAGAAAAAGGATCAAAAATGTCAAACATATAGCAAAGGATAAGATTAAAGACTAGATTTTTTGTATCCAGATGAGACCTAACAAAGTAGTTAAGTCAACAAAATCTGGTCAGTTAGGGTGCGCTTGGTACGAGGACGGGACTAGACGGACAGGACCAGGCGGGCGAGGTAGGTGGCAAGGTTTTAGGTCAATATGACATGGGTAGTTTACTAATTTACCAAGCTTATCCAATCTCCAAGACTTTTGTTCCACCTATTTTGGTGAGACAAAAAAATGCATTTGTGTCCCACTTAGTCCTGTCCTGTCCCAATCTAAACGTCGCACCAAACGTGTGACACAAGTTTTTGCTCCGTCATGTCCCACATACTAAATGCACCCTTATTAACTCAGAGAGTGAGTTATATTATAGGCAACAAAAAACCATAACCGGAAAGCAAGGTTCTTTCTACTTTTCTCATGAACATAGCTATAAGATTGTAAATCCATACAAAAGATCTACAAGAAAAATTAACTGCTGACCTGTGCAAGGCCAGGCTGTCTAGCACACTGAATCATTAAACGACCAATTACATCATGTGCCACAACGGTTTCAACAAGATCCCCACCTACAAGTTTAACAAGGACCTCATTGTCTAGATCACCGAGCTCCACCACAATGTGTCCTCGAAGTCCATCCTTTACTCCGGTTAGGCTTAAAACTGTTCTCAAAGCTCGTGCATCACTCTGCATTAGATCATATGTCTGGGTATAATTGTCATTTAATGCATAAAAGAACAGGAATGTACATGCCATTTTTATATAACCTGGTCTGCATTTCCATCTTCAGCAAGGACAATTATTGCACGTGCCTTGGAGACAGATACCTATGAAGTTGATCCCACCATTAAACAATCAGATAGCATGTAAAGAGAGTTTGTTTAATGTCAAATTCCATTTAGCATAAACTACACTAAAGACTTTATGAAAGGGCTTGTTAAATATGGTATGATAGAATAAACTGCACTAGAAGTCTTTGTACCTTTTTTAGGTCGGCCAATATTAACGGGCTTCCACTTCTGCATATGACGGATGTTTGTCTAAAGTCAAATTCCATTTTAGCAATGTCAAGTTCCATCTCTTCTTTGTCTCGCTCAGCCATCACCACCACAATCCCTCCACCCAAACTCTCATTTGCTATAGCAAGTTGATTCAACAGTGATCCCTGAACCCAGAAAAGCATTGATAATTAGAAGCATCTGAGGTTTGTAACCAGTTTAATTTAAAAAATGTAACAAGACCAATCTCTGGCCATTTGAAATACCCACCAATTTATCACTCCAACCAAGAATCAACGTGTGGTCTTTCTTAACCACCTCGCTTCTTCCTTTCCTCAGTGAGTCAAACTTTTCGGATATTGCATCAGTAACAAGTCCAAGCATCATTGCAAATATAAGCATCCCACCAAAGCTTATGGAGACCGAAACTAACCTTGGACCAACTCCCTCAGAGTTAGCATGGTTTCCTGAATCAGCAACAAACGACCACGATAACCAAAGGCAATCTGCCAAACTATCATCAGTAACACCAAAGAGTGCCAACCCACCAACACCAATAAGTAGAAGAGTTGCCACCAGCAATGCCAATGGCTTTGAATATGGGCGTACTGATAAAAACACGTCTACCTTATAAGCTAGCTGCTTATTCAAGGATGCCTCTTCCTTTAAATTATCTGGTGATTTTGACTTTGAAATGTACTCCACATACTTGAGAAATACAAAAGGAATAGAAAGAAGTGTTACTGAGACAACCAATGCTATAGTTTTCAAACTCTTGTTGGGAAGATTGATGGTTTCTTGGGAGTTGAAATCATCAAAATCCATAGGTTCCAGTAAATTGCAGACTTGTAATCTCCCATTGAGCTTTATAATCTGGGCCTACAAACAGCAAAACATACTATCTATAGTATGACCAGAAAAGGTATGGAACACAATAGTTTATAAAGTACCATTACCTGAAGATCATTGGCCTGATTATGCAAAGAAATATTCTTGTGCAGCAGAGAAGAAAAGGTTGTGATCAGAAGCTGGACCACACAAAAACGAACACATTACAAAACCCTTTATTTTGATCCAGTTCATGTACATAGAAGAAATAACAAACAACATGAAAGCGAGATAAAGAACCAACAGCGACTAGAAACGCCATATGCCACCGGAATTTCAACCGACCACCAGCCAAGTCGATAAACGTGTTCCGAATGGAAGTTTTGTCGTCGGAAACATGCAATTTTTGGGGAATTTGTTGTGCGAGTGATGAAACAGCAACTTCAGGCGCTGGGGATCTTTGATAGCGTCGAGAGAAATTGGTACGGCGTGAGAATCCTGCATACTTGACGTCACGATGAGAGGAGGAGGCTGGAGAAGATGATGAAGGTCTAGGATAGGTAGAGAATCTTCTGGTAGGAGTCTTGTGTAGATGATCGGAGGAGGAGTGGATGAAGGAGGGGGATGGGGAGGGGAAGAACCAGTCTCGGCTGACAGACGGTGGCGATGACTCGTGTGAGTCCATCGGTGAGGGTTTCCCTCGCCGTCTGTGATTTCCAAGTTTAAATATGTTTCTAAGTCAACGATCAGTTTTGTGACCAAGACACGACGGCCTGTTTTTTTTTTTAAAAGCACCATCAATATTTCAATTATTTGGTATAATTAATTAAAATAGTCATGTTTTTTTTGATGATATTAATCTGGATATCTAATTCGTTATGCAAGTCGATTAATTTCAGAACGACAATCAAGGGATGGACCCAAAAAAAAAATTAAACAGTGGCATCATTTGACCATAAAAAAAATTTGGAATTTTTTTCAAACGGTGACACCGTTTGACCATAAGAAACAGATATACGGAATTTTTTTCAAATTGTGGCACCGTTTAACTATAAGAAACAAATATATGGAATTTTTTTCAAATGATGGCACCGTTCGACTAAGAAAATGACACTAACATAATTCGGACTTGGGAGTGGGGTGGAATAAAAGCGTTATAAACCAACTTTACCAAATAAAACTTGTTCTCATTGTAGTTTCAAAATACATACGGTGGTACACAACAAATTAATATGGTTGCTCCGTTCACGAAACCTAATTTTTTTACTCTTCGACAGAGAAACAATACGGTGGCACGTGCCACTCATGGCACTTAACTAGGTCCGCCCATGCGACCATCTGCTTTTTAGATAACCCGGAGTCACCCATTTGAACCTCCGTGGTCACGAGGGGATTTTTTTCTCCTAGAATTTGAACATGGGACCTCCTGATACTTTTAATCTTTGGAGTCAAGATCAAACCAATTAGACACCACCCATGTGGTTGAAAAATGCACAAAATAGGCTTGCAGAATCATCTATCAAGCATGCGCCGTTAATTGCAAGGCCATCAGTCATGAGATAAAAAATTTCGATAAAAGCATGAGAATGCTGCATGATGCGACGCTGGTCTGTATTAGGCCAAAAATTTATCACAAGTTATGCCCTTTATAACTGGTTTTTGGTAAACAATCTGGTATTTCCATCTTAAGATTTTTGGATGTGTTGTACACGTTCCAATTATCCCGTCACAACGTAATTAATTGAGTCCTTAGATTTGTTGATTGTCATTTCAATGAACCTCTATTCTGATATTAGGGGGGAGACTAAGGTGTCATTTACCAAACGTTTACCTGAGTAAGCGCTTACCAAGTCAATTTACTTTACCGGATGAATATGACAACGACTAAGAATCTTAACGGTAAGAGCGAAGGCAAGAATCGAGAGTATTATCCGGTAAGTGATGATGACGACTCTTACCATGGTTAGCGCTTACCGGGATAAATTGTTGCATACGATGTGTTTTAGTGAATAAAACCCTACCTGGTAAGTAAGCGTTTACCAAGTCTAATTTACCTCACCGGATAAATATGGTAAGGACTAGGAATCTTACCCGGTAAGAACGAGATAAGGACCATGAGTCTTACCCGATAAGTGAGGGCGATGACTCTTACCACGGAAGCACTTACCGGGTGAATTGTTTCATACAATGTCAATTTTTTATGGATTAAAATCTTACCCGGTAAGTAAATAACAGTGTTAAATTTTACCCGTAAGCACTTACTGGATAAGTGTTTGGTAAACGGCCCTAAATTGTTGGGAAACAACAGTAGTTGAAATAAATTATCATATATTCATAACCATAAGGATATTGTCTAATTGGTTAGAACTTGAGCTTCAAAAGTAAAAAATACTTGGAGGTCCCATATTCAAATCCAAGGATGAATAAAGATCCCCTTGTGACCACAGAGATTCAAATGCGGTGACTCATGACTACTCGCAAATCAGGTGGTCGTCCCGAGATTGTTTCCACTTTTTGTTGATTAACTACATCCTCGCGTCCTCTTGTAAATTATCATGTTCTTAATAAGTAATTTTTGCCAAAAATATGACCTTTTTTTATCTTTTTTTTTAAGTATATAATATTTATATACGACAAATGTAACAAATAAACTCACACATCATCCTCACCTATGGTGAGATTTGAACCCTGACCTCCTAGAAGGCCAAGGGCTACGATACTGCAAATTGCAAAAATTTGTGAAACCAACCAAAAAACTAAATAAGTTCCCAATAACGATAGAATTCAGCTAAAAACACATCGTACGCAATACGTAGTCTTGTGTTACTCGAAAGGTCAAAGTCGATTCAATTCGAAAAATGTGATAATCTCGAAATTGACATAATTGATTTTTCCTTGGATCAAACTGCGTCGACTTTTCACTCCCAATCAAACCTACGACTTTACAGGTCTTTGATCCACCTTAAAGGTATAACCGCTCAAGAAAATTATTGGATCCACCACTGATTAAAAGTCCAAACGATAATTCATTTATAGAGCTTAACCAACTAATTACAAAAATGTGTTTACTGATCCAAAAATGGTGACCATATCATATGTCTCGACTGCTAATTCTTTGGTAAAAATCAATGTCCACAAATGAGCTAGGGATATGCAGAAAATCAACCGATCTAATTGTAATCGATTGATCCAATTAGAACCGATCGACCATAATTGGATATCCAATTGTAATTGGATCGGATCAAACTGAAAATTTTAACATCCAATTTGGATTGATCGGTTCTCGGATGGCAGTCCAGAACCGACCAAAATCGAACCAATCAACATCCAACTACCCATCCAATTAATCATCCGATGATTATCCAATTGTCCATCTAACCATAAATTGGATTGGATTGAATCGGTTATCTAATGTTAATCGGATCGGATCGGTTGACAAAATCCAACATCCAATGGATGATTGGATTAGTTCGGTTTCCCTCACATCTAATAGATGTCAACCGATAAACAACCCTATATAAAGGCACCAGCTTTAAAGACAAATGTCCTTTCTAAATAACGATTAAAAATACTATCTCAAATACAATTGTTAATTAAGTTCCGGATAAAATTTAGGGAAGTTATGAAAATCAAGAGATCTCAATGAATTGTGTCTTGAATAGGATACCGTGAAATTGAAATCAAGTCAATGCTGACAACATATAACAAAACGTTAAACTTAATAAATAACTAAAAAGGTATTCGCATAATATAACAAGATGCATTTCGATTTTAATGTTTTGTTTTATTATTTGCCTCTATAGATGTTATAATACGATTTTATGTGTTTTTAAAAAATCGATAATATTTTTAAATAAAATATAAATTTGAAGATATCATAAAATTTTAAGAAAAATATATCAATGTTAGTATCAAATTAGCTATTTAAAAGTTCTTATTTTTTGTGTAAATCCTTTAATTTAATTTTTTATTATAATTTAATTTAAGTTTAATAACGAAGTAATTTATTTTTGGTTTAATTATATAATATTTTACAAAGATAATGTCATAACTCAATGATTATTTAAAATGAGATGTTTATCTTGTATTTTATTATATTTATCTGCATTCTGTTATACGAATTCAGACATAGAGTTTTAATAACTTGTACTTACGGACAATCTATTTGTAATCTTGAATACTAAGTATTGTATGTATAAAAAATAGTTTTTAATTTTTTTATTAAATATTTATAATATAATATAGATTATAAGCATCATGAAAAAATATATTAGAATTTTTTTTAAATAAATAAATAATTTGCCAAAATGAGAAGATGCTTTGTAGCTAACTCATAATTGTCTCATTTAGCAACACTCCAATGCTTGCAATTATTTGAAACATATCAATCATTTTTTTTTCCAACTTCCCCAAATTTGGACAAATTTTGTACGGTTTCTTGCATTCGTGGTTTAGGTTTATTTGGCAGTTGCTGAATGGTTTAGTGCAAAATAATTAAAAGGCTTTCGTGATATAGTGTAATATAAAATATATTTGTTTGGTAATTATTTACAATGAAATCAAGGCGCTTAACAGTTAAGAGAGGTTCATGATACAAAATCATTCAAAGGGTTTTAGAACCATTAAGAAGCAGACTTTTTTTTGTCAAACAAGATTCACCTCTTAATGATTCAGATGTTGCCTCTTAATGGAACTATTAAGAGGTAAACAAACAACCCCTTAGTGGCTAGTCTCTCTTAACAAGCAGTCGTCGTACCATAGCCCAACCACTTATTTTTAACTAGAAGGGTATATGTGCAATGCAGCGAGATACATTTCGATTTTAATATTTCGTTTTATTCTGTCTCCATCGATGTTATAATACAATTTTATGGTGTACTGAAAAAACGATAATATTTTTATTTTTTTTAATAAAATATAAATTTGAAGGTATCATAAAATTTTGAAAAAAAAATGTATCGATTTTAGTATCAAATTAGATATTTAAAAATGCTTGTTTTCTTTTGAATAATTTCTTTAATTCAATTTTTTTATTATAATTTAATTGAGATTTAATAATTAAGTAATTCATTTTTATCTTAATAATATAACTTTTTTACCATCATGGATTTCAAGGACGACAAGAAGATTGGGACTCAATGGAGTAGTTTTTGGAATTTGAACAAGTTATTAGGTTACGTGTTTTGTATTTGAACATGTTATTTGCTTATGTGTTTGATATTTGACTATTTGGTAACGTAGATTTTCTATTTGAACAAGTTTTTGGAAGTTGACCAAGTTTGATATTGAATAAGCTTTTATTTATAATTTTATTTATGTGATGCTGCGTATACAAATACTCGAGGATTTATGGCGTCGTATTGTAGTGTTAGATATTGGCTTGGAGATTTTCGTCGTTGACGAACAATGAACAAGTATGAAAAGTTTAATCATTCTCATGCAAAGCTTAGAAATGTTATTAAACATTCTTATGGTGTCCTGAAAGCACGTTTTCCGATATTGAAAAGGATGACACCATTTACGCTTAAGGTTCAAAGAGACGTTATTGCATGCTTTGGCGGTTCACAACTTCATACGAAAGGAAGGTAAAAGTGATGAGTTATTTTTTGAGTATGATCAAACCAACGAGCAAGGGGACGACTATGGGGATGCAACTGAAGATGTTCAATCGCATGGAGTGCTGCTGACCAAACATATATGGCTAGTTTAAGAGAAGAAATTACAACACAATTAATGCAAAATAAATATTGATTCTAGTTCTTATGAGACTTTATCCGTGTTTTCTATTGTGTGTTGAATCAAATAACGTAGTTTATAAATGGTTTAAATGATTAGATATTTCAGTTAAATCTAATTAAAATGAATTCATTCATATTTTCAAACTTCAAATGTTTGTTAGTTTACAAAAACAAACAGTCTTATTGATTTAGATTTCAGACTTCAAACATAAAAACAAACAGTCCAACTGATTCAGACTTCAGACTTCAGTATCACCTCTTATAAATCAGAAATGAGATTAGACTTCAGACTTCATCATCATCTCTTATAAATCAGAAGTGAAATTAGACTTCAACAACTCTTAAAAACAAACGGTTTAGATATATTTCATAATTCAAGGGTGTTATACCATGAAGTTGTGATAACATTGAGAACTATTGCATCATGTGCTATTTCATATGATTTTTTTTTTAATTTAAGACTATGATTTAAAATATTGATTAGTATATATTGATTTAACAATGTGAACCTTTTTAGCATGTTTGTAAGACAAAAAAGTTACACGTAAAACAATTTCACATTATGAACCAAATACATATGAAGCAAACAAATTGTGAAATAAATATATATGAGAAAAAATCATGTGAAACAATACCTTAAGTTAAAGTTTCTCACAATTATCACACTATATAGAGTCCTCATTTGATTACGCCCCTATGTATGTAGACTATATGGAACAAAACTTAGAGGGCTTTTGGTTTGTAGAATGTTTTTGAATGAAGTGACACATGTCAACGAAATTAGAATATAATGAAAGTGGAATAGATATTTGAAGGAATTTACCGTACATTTGTTTTGTAAGAATCCATCAAAATCAACTAACCAAACATAATGTTGTAATTCGGTCAATGGAATTGAGCATTCCAATTCCTCTCAGTTTCATCGAAATCCAATCAACCAAACGACTCACTAAAGTTTTTTGCTCCATTCTGAAACCTTGAATATGCATGGGAATGGGGTGGGGACCTCTATCCCTGTCGGGGAATATAATCACATCCCCATCCCTAATGGGGGAAACGAATTTTTTTTTCCGGTTTAATTTTTAAATAACTTATATAACTTATATAAGTACTCGGGGTAACCTGTTATCATGTTGATGTGGTGAGTGATGTAGTATTCAACTCAGTATTATTTGCTAACGTGATTAATGACATAAATTTTTTTAATCTAAAATTAGTCTTCAACCAGTTACTCAGGTACTTAAACGTTTAAAACTTTACATCTTAATTACCAAAATAAAAGTTTTAAAAGTAAATTACCTAAAATAAAAATCAAGTTAACATACGTTACATTTTCATGCAATTTTCATAATGTTTAGATCTATTCAAAATCATCCAATCTATATGCATCAAGCAATACCTTATTTATATATTTTTCAACCTTTAAGAATCTTAAACCATATCTAATAAAAATATTAAAATAATAAATTCTATAATTAATAAAGTATTAAGTTTTCAAAATAAAGCATCTTGACGGAACAAAAGCACTAGCCGTTGCAGAAATCATTTGCCCAAACTAGCCGTTATAAACCCAACGGTCATCAGACAGCTAACGCTACAATTCCGTGTGTGTGTATATATAACATACACACTAACTCCGTTATCATCAACTCATCTCTTCACTTCAATCTCATCCCATYTCCGACCGCCTGCAATCAATTCGCCACCACCGTCGATAGCCGGAAAACTCCAWTAATTCATACAAAAATGGGTCTCTCAAGYGACGCTCAATCTCACTACAAGACCCACAAATTCTTCCTCATCTGCAACTACATCTTACTCGGCGCCGCCTCCAGTTGCATCTTCCTAACTCTCTCCCTCCGCCTGTTCCCCTCCGTCGCCGGGGCACTCCTCGTCCTCCTCCACATCGGCACAATCGTCGGTGCCATCTCAGGGTGCAACGCGGTGTCGGCAGGGTCAAACCGGTGGTACGCCGCCCACATGGTGGCGACCGTCTTGACGGCTATCTTCCAGGGATCCGTATCGGTTCTGATATTCACGACGACTTCGAATTTCTTGGGGGCGTTGAAGTCGTACGTCAGGGAAGAYGATGCGGCGGTGATCTTGAAAATGGCGGGGGGGCTCTGCGTATTGATGTTTTGCTTGGAATGGTTGGTTCTGACGCTTGCTTTCTTCTTGAGATACTATGCGGTTATGGAGGGTAGCCGGAACGGCGGGAAGGTTCAGGCGGAGGATCCAAAGGGGTGGACACCGCCGTTCCATGTTTAGAGAAGAAACTGATGATGATCAATCAAGATTGAAGAAGAAGAAAGACAAATTAAATTCATTTGTCTCTTTTATTATTATTATTATTATTATTTATTTTTTGAATATTGATGCTTGTAATCTTTTAATTTATTTATTTTAAATATAATTTAACTTTTTCAAAATGTGAATTCTTATTGGTTCTTTGTTTAATTTTTAAATTTTTGCTATAAATTGTTTGATTTAATTTTTAATTTTTTCGAAAATTTTGTAAAAATAAAATGCAAACGACAAAAAGTTGTTTCAAAATTTTGTATTAGGGGGTGTTTGGGGCTTATTTAAAACAACTTATGCTTTTTCGTAAAAATGCTTATTAACTTATGTGGTATCAAACTGAAGTTAAAAAACAGGGTTAAAATTGTAAACTGGTAATAAGCAGTTTTTCATAAGTCATAAGCAGTTGTCAAAAACAACTTATTACCGGTTTGGCACCGGTATAAGCAGTTTTTTACTTCTTTTCCAAACACCAGAAAACAACTTATCACCGGTGCCAAACTCAAATAAGTTAAAAAACAGTTTTTATAAGCAATTCCAAGCACCCCTTAGACCTTAAAGTAATGAAATTGAAGTTCACTTTTTCTATTTTGAATCATATCTTCATTTTTTATTTTATAAACATTTTTGGTGGGGCCTTTTATGTCCTTTTTATGAGGAGTCGTATTTTTCCTCTAAAAATCCATAATCGGCATAAATTTTGCAAAATAAATCCAATAATATATACTATATTATAAAGCATTTGACAACAACTTTTAAAACTAAAATGGAGAAAATAAGGAAAAATGAAAAGAAAATTGAATAAACAAGTAGACTAAATGTCCTGTATGTACAGTGTTCAAATTTTTTATTCATCGACTACATACTATTTTCTTCCTCCAACCTCAAAATAAATTAAAAATGGAGATTGAAGTTTGAAGGGTACGAGATAGGATGAGGTGGAAGCTGCTGGTTCAGAGAGGGTTTTTGGGTTGGGTTGGGTTGGGTTGGGTTGGGTTGAAGAAGATAAAGTAGCATGAAAAACATTTAATGACAAAGTGATATGGTCGTAATCTCGTTAGAGTTTGGGGAGGGCATGAAGATGGGGTTGGTTTTTTTTTCTCTTTTCTTTTTGTAAACAGATATATTACAAGGATTCGTTAAAAAAATCAGTAAAAAAACAAAAATGTTCATCATCTAACGTTAATGGACCATTTCTGCAGCAAATCTAAAACTTCAGGGACCATCTTTATGATTTCGAAAAGATAATGGCAAAAATCAAATTTTTTGATAAACCTTGAGGACGATTATTGTAATTTATCTTTTGAATTTGATGTACTATGTGGGCATGAAAAAGGTGTCGACCGTTTCACACGTGGCTTTTGTTGATGTTGCGTGACAGCATGTAAAAGCAGAAAATAATTTGTTGACTAACTTCCATTGACCATCTCAACACCCGTACATGTTTTTGTGGAAATCATCAAAATACCAAAATATATCCGATATATTAACGAAATAATCATTTTTCATCAAAATTACAAAAATATATACAAGAATCGCCCCCGGGGGCGATATATGACCATGGGGGAGATCTACTTTATGTTGACAAAAAAAGTACAAAAAATAATATTAAAAATGATTTTAGTGGGTCTCATATGTCTCCTTTTAGGGTACAAAAAGGATACAAGTCTCGTTTTGTATGGATCTACCCCCAAGAGCGATCCAATTTAATATATATTTTTTAATTTTTTTCTTTATTTTTTTAATATCGAATAAGGGGTGTTTTTAATAAATAGAAGACGATATTTAAACTATTTTTTTACCTTTTTAGAACCAAATGTCATGGTTTTATTATATAAAATAAAACTACTTTTGCTCTCACAACCCGTAAACCTTATAAAAATATGATTGTACCATCACAATCTCATTGTTTGAATGGAAAGAAAATACTAGTTGTTTGGAGTTGCTGAATGGTTTAGTACAAAATGATTAAGTGTTTAGAATGATTAAGAGACTATCATTAACAAACATTAACAAAATCATTCAGATGGTTTTAGAACCATTAACAAACATTTTTTTTTGTCAAACAAGATTTACTTCTTAATGATTTAGAAGCTGTCTATTAATATAACTATTAAGAGGTAAACAAACAACCCCGAATGTAAATATTAAACCTAAAATTTATGGTATGTAATTAACGAAAAGAAAACATGGTTGAAGCCTTCAAAATCGCCTCCTTTTTGTTTTATGCCAAGTTTTGATCGATCTCTCCAAGAATATACAGCTTATAACCCTTTAAAGTTTAAAATCCCACTAAATGCTTCATACTTTGAAAAGTATGCTCAAAGTAATGATCATTTGAGAAATATGCATTTATGATTTTTCATTTGATATAATATGCTCACTCTCTGCAAACATTTGTAAAGCTATGCTACGTTGTGACTAAAGCGACTTTTGGTACAACTAAAGCCGCCCAAAAAGTCGCATTAACCACTTTTTCACCACTTTTTGCTCCCATTCACCAATAAGCATAATAAAAGACTTAGGTACTTCATAAAATATATAAATAAATGTATTTTGATTATAATAAGGGTTCAAAAATGCATTTATTAAAAGTCAGAATGATACATCTCGATTTTAATGTAGTAAGATACATCTCGATTTTAATGTTTCGTTTCATTCTGTCTCCCTGTCGATGTTATAATACGGTTTTATGTGGTTTTAAGAAAAACGATAATGTTTTTTTTTTAAATAAAATATAAATTTGAAAATATTTTAATTTTTTTTAAATATCGATATTAGTGTCAAATTAACTATTTAAAAAATCTTGTTTTGTTGTGTAATTTTTTTAATTATAGTTTAATTTAGGTTTAATAAGAAAGTAATTTATTTTTTATTTAATAATATAATTTTTGTAAAGATAATAACTAAGTATTCTGTTAGAAGATAATGATTATCCTAATTATATTCAAAATGAAATATTTATCCAATATTTGATTATGTTTATCTGTAGTTAGTTACACAAATTTAAGTATTAAGTTTTAATAAGCTGTACTTATGCATTATTTACTTGTAATATTGAATTTTAAGTAATATACATCAATAAACAGTATTTCATGTATAAAAAATGGTTTTTAAAAGTTTTTGTGAGATACTTTATAATATAGTGTAGATATGAATATTTTAAAAATTAAATATCTTGTATATTTTAATAAATACTTAATTTTTATAATTTGCACTTTCGAAAATTTTGGAGTTATTGAAAACAATATTTAAAGCTTTATAATATAATACAGATAAACCATTAATTATGTACTTTATAATAATAAGATGTTGTTTGGCAATTGCTAAATGATTTGGTGCAGATTCTGTACAATGAAATTATGGCTCTTAATGGTTAAGGGAGATCCATGATACAAAATCATTCAGAGGGTTTTAGAACCATTAAGAAACAGACTTTTTTTGTCAAACAAGATTCACCTCTTAACGATTCAGATGTTGCATTTTAATGGAACTATTAAGAGATAAACAAACAACCTCTAACAGAATCATTTTTTAATCAGTTTGGCCTTTTTTTATGGTAAAATAATAATAACAAGAGAACAAATTACATCTAGTCTCTGTCACTATATGATTTGCTTTGCTGTGAATTTCTTTTGCTCTTCCGTGATGGGCAATTTTGTCTTTTTAAATCGTGAAGAAAATTTATTTTGAATCTTAATCTTCTTCGTCAATAAAATCAAGAACAGATCTTGAATCAAAATCCCTAAATCTAAACAGACAATCCTAAATCAATAAGAAAATCTAAATCTAGATTAAACTGATGACAAAAGACCTTAAAATAAAAGATATATCACAATAGTTTTTTTTTTTTTACAGAAACTCCAATCCACCCAACCCAATCAAATAAAAAACCCCATGTTTTAACAGGGTAAATGCATTAAAAGGGATGCAATGGTCAAGGTGTTGTTGATACCAAACTTATACGTGTAAAGATGATAGGTGGAGAAGAAGGTGCGTATGCACCGCCAGAAAGGAGGCAGAGGTAACATCAGACGGTCAGAGAGGAAGGCGAGTGAAGGTAGATCGAAGAGAGGTTCTTCTTGATTCGATTGGTTTTTTCACCAGTCGAGAACAGAAGAGAGGCAGATGGTTCTCACTGCGACGTCAATTTGCAGAAAGTTGAATATTTTCTTGCAGTTGAGGATACAGTGGCACTCTCTCAATCTACAAGGAAGGTGTGGAAAGCAAATTTTTGGATTGCTATGTATGTGATTTGGTCTTCTCGGAATAAATTGGGTTTTTCAGTTCATGAGCAACCGATTCTAGATTTAACGTTCGAAATCCAATTGCTTTGTTTCATTTGAATTTCAAATCGAACTAAAAAGACACAGTTAAGATGGGTGGTTCGGTGTTGCAAAACACGTGAACACGTTTAATATTCTCGATTCTTGTTTCATTTTCTTCATCCAAGATCAACGTTTATGTGCAATTAATTAGGTTTTAGGGTTCATTGTGTTGAAAAAGAGAGGTGGAAGGAAGAAGGTAAAATTACATTTTTATCCTCATGTGCAATGTACATGACGTCACTTAATGATAGTCAAATTAAGAGTGTTAAGTCGAAGGACCATGTGCGTTATGAAAATAAAAAGTAGACATTCAATGCAGATAGTTTGTTTAAGGGACCATATCCAAAATTTGAGCAAACCACAAGGACTACCAATGTAATTCACTCTATTATCTATACTATATTATAAAGCATTTGACATAAACTTTTAAAAACCACTTTTTATGCATACAATACTGTTTATTAATGCATGTTACTTAAAACTCAAGATTACAAGTAGATTGTGCGTAAGTACAAAACTTATTAAAGCTCCATATATGAATTCGTGTAACTAACTGCAGATAAACATAATCAAATACAAGATAAATATCTAATTTTAAATAACAAAAAACTAAAATATAATTAGGATAATAATTGAGTTTTAACATTATACTTAATTATTATCTTTATAAAATGTTATATTATTAAACCAAAAATAAATTATTTCATTATTAAATTTAAATTAAATTATAATAAAAGATAAATTAAAAAAATTACATAAAAAAGAGGACATTTAAATAGTTGGTTTGATATTAACATTGATATATTTTTTTTTTCAAATTTTTATGATATATTCAAATTTATATTTTATTTAAAAATAAAATCATTATTGTTTTCTTAAAAATACATAAAATCGTATTATAACATCGACAAAGACAAAGAATAAAATAGAACATTGAAATCGAGATATATGTCGTTGCATTAAACCGAATAACCTTCTAATTTCTTTTAAAAGAGGTTAAATGAAAAGTTAGGACCACCAATATAGACTTTGTATTTACGAACATGTATCTAAAATTTGAACAAACTACAAGGACCAATTGTGTCATTCACTCAAAATAAATATATGAAATAATAAATAAAAAAATAGGGAAGCTAAAACATAGAGTCAAAAAAGGAAACCGTTCGATTTGCATGTTAGGGCTAGTTAGGTTTAATTTATTAATGAAGACACGTGGCCACTAATTTTAATACCGATGGAGCTCATGTGTGTACGCATAGACTTCCAAACTCGTTACATATTTTAACCTAATTTATTTAAATTATTGGATTTTATATAGAAATACCATTTATGAACATGAATTTATATTAAAATAAATAATAAATAAATGGGAAACGTTAATCGAGAAATTCTTCAATAAACGTTTTTAGATTGATGCATGGGGGAGTTGTACGACATCCATATATTTAATTGAATAATGAATGATATATATATATATATATATATATATATATATATATATATATATGAATGAGAAAAGACAGATATGTGAGTTATTATGCAACTCTTTATATTTGTACAATTAGTGCAACTTAATCTCAACCGTCCATTTAATTTGATAAATATGTGATTTCATAAAAGTTTTGATTGTTTCTTAATATAAAGTATTGATCATAATTAATGAACTCTAATCATCTTCATAAATATTTAAATCATAATAAATGAACTCTTATCATTTTCATAAATATCTAAATTGATGAGATATATTGGTTTTACAAATAAACATGATTGCATTTGAAATATACCCCCCCCACACACACACACATATATATATATATATATATATATATATGAGTTATTATACAACCTTTTATATTTGTACAACCAATATATACAACTCAATTTCAACCGCCCATTTAATTTGATGAATATGTTATAAAAGTTTGATTGCTTCTAATATAAAGTATTGATCATAATTAATAAACTTTATTCATTTTCCTTAAATATTTAAATCATAATAAATTAACTCTCATCATTTCTATAAATATTTCAATTTATTGAGTTGCATTGGTTGTACAAATATAATGAGTTACATTTAAAATAATTTATATATATATATATATATATATACAATTCATTGTAACGTCATCTTTCTTTTGTCCACATATATTCACGTTATATTATTTTGTCCAGATATATAATATATTCACCGCTATACTCTTTTGTCTGTATATATAATATGCCAAATTATATCTTTTATTATCTATCTATAAATACCGAGGGAGAGAGTGATGGGTTTAAACGAGATTAAAAACTAAACCATGAGTAAATCAGATGTCATTTTACTAAACTTGCATATAATTAAGACCATTCTTATTAAGCACCACTTTTGTACCGACTTACCATGCCAACTCATCCCAAACACCTTTCTCTTTCTCTTGGTGTAATTGCATGTGATTTCTGTATAAAAATTACGTGTGATTTGGACATTATCTTATTCTTTTGTTTTACCCTTGTCATCGTTTGAATCTTCCCTTATCTCTCTCTCTCTCTCTCTCTCTATATATATATATATATATATATGTGTGTGTGTGTGTGTGTGTGAAGGCGGACTAAATTTTCATCGCGAAGTATTCAATCCAGCCACAGGTTGCGCTACCTTAATAATAATAGAAGTAATAAATGTGTTCTTAAAGTGAACTAAATATAAAAGAAGATGCATTAAATAAACTTTATGTTATATTTAATGAGTTGTTTTAAAAGTTGTAATTGCATACTTTATTATAAAGTAGACATAATAATACATATTAAATGGAGATCAACACCTACGACCTACAACAGTTTTATAACTCCTACCATCCACGAGGAGAATTATTTATTCCACCCAAGGAAATATATATATATATATGTGTGTATGTATATGTATATGTAAGTGGGCATTCATATTTAACAATTGCTCCCACATTCGACATTCCCATTTGCCTCCACCACAGTGTCATCCGGCTACAATGCAACAAGCACCTATTTGCAACCCCACAACGACCACCGCAAGATGGTGGTCGAAGGACTCGATAGCCATTGTCACCGGAGCAAACAAGGGTATCGGGTACGCCTTGGTCAAACGGTTTGCTCAACTAGGGTTAACCGTTGTGTTAACGTCACGAGATCCGTCCAAAGGTGTAAAGGCAGTGGATTCGCTTAAGGTTTTGGGACTTGATGGGAATATTTGTTTCTGTCAACTTGACATATCTGATCAAGCTTCCGTTCGCTCGTTCGTTTCGTGGTTTCGATCCAAATTTGATGCCTTCGACATTCTAGTGAGTATATTAATTATACGAAATGAATATTTTCATATAATGTTAAGATACTTGAATGTTTTATGATCAATTTAACAAATTTTGGTTTTGGTTTTGATTGTATGATCTTTGGGACCAAAATATCCATATTTTAGTCACAATGATGGTGTGCAATTGGTTTGAGCTTGGGTTCCAAAGATCAAAAGTGTCTGAAGGTCCCAGGTTCGAGTCCAAGCAGGATCAAAATCCCCTTGTGGTCACGGAGGTTCAAATGCGGTGACTCCGGGCTCCCCCAGAAACGGATGGTCATTCTGGGATTAATCGACTCGCATAGCAAGTTCGATATTTTAAGGTGTAGAGGAGTTGCAATAAGAAAAACTGTTATTTTTCAAAGTGATTGTGAAACTATTTTTTTTATTAACCTGGATATCCAACCCGCTATGCGAGCCGACTAATCCCAAGGAGACCACCTCTTTTGCAAATAGCTTGGAGTCACCGTATTTGAACCTTCGTGGCCACAAGGGGATTTTTATTCCTCATTGGATTTGAACCTGAAACCTCCTGGTACTTTTAACCTTTGGAGCCAAGCTCAAACAATCAGGCACCACCCTTGTGGTTGAAACTACTTTCTTTTAGAGTCAGGCTGATAGGAATTATTTGAGGTAGAAGACTAAAAATACAGATTAGATGTAAAAATTTGTGGCTACCATTATTTGTTTACTTATTAATAGTTCTGTTAAGAGGTATCATCTAAATTACTAAAAGGCGTATCTTTTTGGATGCAAAAAAAAATCTGTCTCTTAATGGTTCTAAAATTCTTTGAATGATATAGTGTCTTGTGCGTCCTTAAACCATTAAGTGTCCTGATTTTATTCTAAGCAATTATCAAACAACCATAATTCATTTTGCACTATATTATAAAACCCTCTTAATTTTTTTGACCACTTAATCATCCTGTACCAAGCCATTCAGCAACTGTCTAACAAAATTTACCTACTTTTTATTTCATTTTTACTCAAAACTTGTTTATGAGGCGACAATTCTAGTGAAAACAACCGTTCTATATTTTGGGGTAGATGACAAGTCTATATACATCTTAACCTAGACCTTACTTTCCAAAAAGTTATAATGCATTTGTTTAGTTTGGTTTGCCTTATTGCAATGTACTATTATACGATTCTCATTATAATTTTAATTTTTAAAATCATAATAAATTTATTTGAAACGGATATTATCTTAGGAACCAACCAATATATCTAGACAAAGTCGTCTCAACTCTTAGGCAACTAAATGGCTCTTTTTTAAAACGAAAAAAATTGGTATTTTTAAACTATCTTTATTATCTCTACTAATAGGGTTGAACACATTATTATTTTACTAGAAGAGTATTTGCATAATACAACGAGGTACATCTTGATTTTAGTGTTTCGTTTTTTTTTGTTTTAGTCAATGTTATAATACGGTTATATGTGGTTTGAGAAAACGACAATGTTTTTATTTTTGAATAAAATATAAATATGAAAATATCATAAAAATTTGAAAAAAATAATAATATTGATATTAGTACCAAACTAGCTATTTAAAATTTCTCATTTTTTGTGAATTTCTTTAACTCATTTTTTTATTTTTGATTTAATAATATAATTTTTTATAAAGATAATAATTAAGTATTTTATTAGAACTCGATAATTATCTTAATTATATTATAGATTTTTTATATTTAAAATAAGAT